AAGTGCGTGTGTTAGTTTTCGGTGTTCGTCACCACACTTTGCCCATTTCCATTGGCGCTTACTCACTCTCCGCAGGAGTTTGAAAGCGAAAATACTTCGTGTTTGCGCAGACAAACAAAGGACGTGACTCATGAACCGAAGAGAGCGCAGTGCAAGCCTTTCCTCCGATGGCGATGGCGGTTGACGCTGAAACTCAGACAGCACTTGAACGAGAGGATAAAATCTAAAGCGTCGCGTAAAAATTTCAACCTTTCAGTCCATTGCAAAGATAGATTTCTTGTGACATTTCTTCTGTTGGAGAAAATGCGTTCTTAATGGAAATACGGTGTTCGGTGAGTTATCTAAAGGAGCGTGGTATAAAAAGCCAACACGCTCGCGTGTTAATATAAAAGAGAGAAAATCAAAGCCCTTTCTGGTTTTGCGAAATAATTTTCTTTTCTTTTAACTTTATTAAATTAATTAATACATATCCTGACTTTTAGATTTTTTTCATGAACAGTAAAATACATTTCTTTAGAAACCTTTTGACATCGAAAATACACCTGCGTTGAACCGTGTTAAGTTATTAAATTTCTCATTTATGGTATCCACATTTTGCGATTTAAATTTAACCTTTTCTTAATAATTGATTGGTTGTTGTGTATTCTGGGCAGGTCAACTGCTAAAGTCATTAGGTTTGTAAGTTTAGAGCAAATTTTCTCCTCGGGAGGTAGCGGTGATCTTTCCTCGCTGGATGACGAGATCCGGTGCTGACCAACCTGTCGGCGGAACGGGGTTTCCGCTACCAGGTATCTCCCATCAGCGGGGCACCGCCTCAGTCGGGACAGGCTCTTAGCTCCCGACCGGTCCCCCGGCGTGTGTGCTAGTGTAAGTGTGCGTGTAAGGGGTGAGAATAGGACAAGGAAGAGGAAGGTGAGATCGCGCGCGGTCCGTAGCCCGTTTCTTAGGATACTACTCCAGCATTCGCCTGATCGAATGAACTACGGAAAACTACCGGTCACAGCAGCCGACCGCTACAATTCTCCTCCAGACAGCGACTGAATTCGACCTAACTGATAAGCTAGTGTCGGGACTCAAACCTCCGACCTCGTGTTCAGAGGCACTGCAGTGACATCAGTTGATGTCCTGAGCCACCACTCCCGGTGTCTTTTCTTAAGGTTATCAACAGAAATCGCCATTGCCCTCCTAACTAGAGTGGGGCAAAACGCATTCTGCTATCGACCGTTCTCGGTGGCTTGCGCTTCCGGTCTCGGAGGTCGCCAGCGCTCTCTATCTGCTCGTGGAATCTTTTCGTCAGTTTCTGAGAAGGATCGGAAACACTGGGTGTGACGGAACCGCTCTTTATCCTCTGATCTCGGGAGGCCGGCAGTATCGGCGTGGAGGAAATGTGACTTTCCTCTGCCGTGTAAGCAGAGAGTGCTCTGTGTAATTTGTGCGTGCTCAGCTTGTGATAGACGCCGTGAACTCTCTTACAGAGGAGAAAATAATTTAAAGCAGCTCTTAACTAATTTTAATAATAAACTTGTGGTGTTACCACGCCACGTCCCATCTCGCATTGTGTTTAATGGTAACTCAAAATGACGCGAAATATACTCGCATTTTCAAACGCGGTTACCCGAAAAAGGATGTCAGACATTTAATAAAAAAGTATATTAACTGATAATTGACGAAAGTGGCCATTTAATTACTTTTTACTAGGATTGAGTTTCAATTAGGTAGTTTATTTAATATGGGCCCATCCAGATAGCAAAACCAAAATCAATCGCAACAACTAAAATGATGAATGAACACCCGCCTTCCCGGGGTTATTGGGCAGGGAGATAATGAAACAAAAAAGAGAAAAATACGAGTTCTTCCGGCGAGTGGCGAAGTGTAGCCAGAATGTGGACAGCGATTGATTCCCCGCGGCATCAACTTTGGACAGAGTTTTTGTACTTGTGCTAGACGCACGGCTACCCTGCAAATTTTGGTTCATCTACCAGATATATGGCTATTGGCTACGTCACTGGTATGGTTTTTGTGCGGTGGAAAAGTGTAACAAAACTTGTTTTACAAAATGTTGCGTTTGTTTCGTTATTAGAACACTTACATGGAATACGATATACGGAATCGATAAATGGAATACGTAAATGGCAAGATGAAGGGCCGAATAATCCATGCGGAAGCGCCAAAGTGGCCTTTACATGGAATAAATAAATGAATAAAAAAGTAAATAGCTTAGTAAAAAGTAAATAGATAAGTAAAAAAGTAAATAGATAAGTAAAAAAGTAAATGG